ATACTTTCAAATCTTTCATGTTATTTTTTTCCCCCAGTTGTTTGCAGCCAAGCCGAACCAAAAGGCATACAGGGCAGGATCAGTCTGTACATGTCTAGACTCTTGGTCACCTGAGAGGCTTGTGAACAAAGGAGTTTTGGGTGTGCACATACAGCTGTAATTCAGTTTGCAAGGAAAGTTTCCAAAATACCTACGCTTAAGAAACAGAACGGATAACCAGCAAATAAAACCCGAGTTTGAATTCAGCTTGGGGTTGAAACTGCGAGGCCCTAGAGATGTGATGGCAAAGCTATGGCATGTATGCCAGAGGTGGCACACAGCACCCTCTCTGTGGGCACGCATGCTGTTGCCAGCTGCTCTTCTGGTTTCCGGCGTGCACATGTGCACCGGTCAGCTGGTTTTTGTGGGTGCCAGAGCGCCAGAAAATGGCCTGAAAACAGCCCGAAAAATGCCCAAAAAACAGGCAGCTTTCGGGGTGTTTTGGGGCAGTTTTTCAGGCCAAAAACAGCCTGAAAATGGCCCCCATACAGTCAAAAATGGCCAAAAAATAGGCATGCACACATCAGCCAGCTGGTCTTTGGGACTCCGGCACATGCACACACATACAAGTGTGTTTCAGTTTGGCCATTCGGTGCCGAATAGGTTCGCCATCACTGCCTCAAAACGAGCATTGGGGCTTGTTTCTAACTAATCGGTTTTATTTAAAAGTGAACAGATAGTCCTTGATTTACAATCACAACTGAGTCCAATGTTTCTGTTGCTAAGTGAGGCAGTAGTTAAGTGAATTTTACGACCTTCCTTGCCATGGTTGTTAAGTGAATCACTGCAGTTGTTAAGGTAGTAACACGGTCGCCAAGTGAATCTGGCTTCCCCATTTGACTGGTCCTCACACTTACGTCCATTGCAGCATTCCTCACAGTCTGGGTACTTGACTTGCATTTATGATGGTTCAGCATCCCAGGATCATGTGTTCTCCATCTGCAACCTCCTCAGCTGCCTTCTGACAAAACAAAGTCAGTGGGGAAGCCAACAGGAAAAGTTGCAAATCAAGATTATCTCATGTCTTACTTAATGACTACCTTGCTTAAATGTTCCCGTCCCAGTTGTGGTTACTACATGTACAGTACTTACCTCATTATAGTGTCTTCCCTTCCAAAAAATGTAGCCTCCAGCTAGTAAAGACTGGCCATGTCTAGCTGTTTCCATACTTGTTCTACGTGCACCGCACCTCAATCCACACAAAAATGTACTACAGTGAGTATGTTTCCCTGCCTTGCTGACTACTGGGATCGTGGTCCTCGGAGATTCTCAGTCATCCAGGTCATGGTTGTCCCAAAAGGGCTTTTTCAAGAGGCAACTGGGCTTTCTTTGCTTTTTTTCCTCTGAAGACGTTTCGCTTCTCATCCAAGAAGCTTCATCAACTCTGACTGGATGATAGGGAATGGAAGGATTTATTCTCCTTGCAGACAGCTGGTCATTTGCATCCTTTTAGAGAGTTGCTGAGGCCACTTGGAGGTTTGTCTGTGTCCTCAGGGTCACCTGAGTAGTGTAGATGGACGTGGTGCCGAAAGGACTGTGTTGTGGAGCTGCGTCCCTTCACTGTTGCTTCACAGGGCAGAAAACAACCTGCGGAAAGCACAGCTCCACATCACAGTACTTGAGAACTTTGTACCCAACTTCAAAGCACTTTCTTTGCAACAGAGAAGATTCCCTGCAAATACTAAGCAGCACTTTGCCCTCAAGTCATTTGGCAAAAGCTTTACATAGGATTCCTTAAGGCAAGGAGGTGGTGGTGGGAATAGGCCACTCTATACGCTCAGAGGCACTGCGCTACGATGTCTGAAACAAGCAGCCTCATATCCTAGTTGTAGGGTTGCACCAACAACTCACACCCCCAACATTTGGGAAAAATCCCAGATCAGGCTTCTGTGCACCTCTGTACCACACCTTAATTCCATGCCTTGATCGAACACACCTATCACTTCCTTTTCCATGTTACACTGCATTACACACACACTTGCAACATTTCTAGCAAAAACCTGTGCCTTCCATACTTATGGCTAGAATTTTAAGATGATCAGCAATGGAAGGAAAACCACATATTCCCCCAAAGGGTAGCTCTGCAAATAGTCCCCACTTGCTCCCCTAACAGATCTCCTAGAGTTATTGTGAGGATGGAAGTGAAAGGATCAATGCAATGTGCTCAGATCTCGGAGGAAATGGGTGCATACTTGTAAATAGGTGGAAGACTGAGGAAAGGACAGCGGAAAGGGGGGGTTAAATGCAACCTATAAAAGTATTTTACTTATGGTTACTGGGGCCTATTCATCCATTTCTCTAGAGTAGACTAGGGGTGCCCAACCTTGGCGACTTTAAGACTTGTAGACTTCAAGAATTCCCCAGCAAGCATAGAGAATTCTGAGAGTTGAAGGTGGGGTATAAATGCAACCAATATAAATATATTTACTTAAGATTGCTGGGATATATCCCTCCATTTTTCCTTGGCGACTTTAAGACTTATAGACTTCAACTCCCAGAATTCCCCAGCAAGCACAGAGAATTCTGAGAGTTGAAGGTGGGATATAAATGCAAGCAATATAAATACTTTTACTTATGGTTGCTGGCTGGGGAACATTCATCCATTCCTCTATACCAGGGCATCCATCCTTGGCGACTTTAAGACTTTTTTTTTTTTTTTAGACCAGCTAGCAAGGAGAATTCTGGGAGTTGAAATCCACAAGTCTTTAAAAGTTGCCGTGGTCGGACACCCCTGCTCTATCTGAACGCAGCTCAAACGTGAATAGAGATCACAAGGGCTGGAGCTTTCCCTCTCTCTTCCTGCCAGTCCCAGAACTTCGTGAGAATTGCGTTTGTCTTTCAAAGTCCCGTGTGCAACTTTCTCTGCATGGGCCACTCCTGTTAGGGCAGGGCAGGGCAGGGCAGGGCCCGGACACACCGCCTTTTGGGCAACCTTTTTGCCACAATCACCCAATGCCAGGGGTGGGCAACTGTGGCCCTTTTACAACCTGTGGACTTCAACTCCCAGAATTCCTGAGACAGCCAAGCTGTCTCAGGAATTCTGGGAGTTGAAGTCCACAGTTGTAAAAGGGCCACAGTTGCCCACCCCTGCCCTATGCGCACAACCCCGGACTGAAAGAGCCCTGCTGCACCCGGTATCTTTAGGCCAGGGGCCCCCAAACTTGGCAGCTTTAAGACTTGTGGACTTCAACTCCCAGAATTCTCGAGCCAGCATAGCATAGCTATGCATAGCTATGCTGGCTGGAGAATTCTGGGAGTTGAAGTCCACAAGTCTTAAAGCTGCAAAAGTTTGAAAACCTCTGCTTTAGGCAATAAGAAAAAGAAAGGAAAAATAAAAAGAGGTGGAGAAAATGCAACGCCTGCAATGCACACGTTCGCGCAGGCGAGAAACCCCCTAACTCCGAACTCCTAACTGGCCGCGTTTCCACGTTGCCAAAATACACTCAACTCCCGAATCCTCGCCCGTTCTTGTCCTGTTTGGAAGCCAGCCTTCGGATTGGTGGCAAGCCTTCGCGAAGGGCGACCCAATCAAACGACAGCGTGATGACTTCATGCTTCGGCCGCCCCAGGTCAGGATTGGCTGCTTGTCAGGTCCCGCCTCTCCCATCCCCACATGGGAATGTGGGTGGGGGGGGGAAATCCCCGTCCGGCCGCTGATGGTGGTCGGGTCGTTGTCGGCGGTGGCTCCTCTGTGAGCTGGAGGAAGCGCGAGAGGCCCGGCCGGATAAGACAGGCCAAAGAGCGGACCCCTCCCCCCCGGTAAGTTGATGAATATGCTAATGACATGCAAATCGGATTCAAACGAGCCCTCCAGTGAGGGGATCTCTGAGGGGAACCAAGTCTACCTTTCCTTCACCTCAGGAGTTGTACTTTGCAGTCCAGCAGGGGGGAGGGGACGCACTCGAATTAACCTGCACAGCCTGACGGGAGCGGTAGTTTTTCCAAAGGGGACTCCCAGGATATCGGAAGGAAGGGGTCGCCGCTGCGGACTACAACTCCCATGGAGGCCGCGCGCCGGCGTCTTGGGCTCGTTCGCCAGGCGCTCTTGTTTCCTCAAAGCATGACGGGTGCGCTAGTCTTTTCGCTCTCGCGCTCTTCCACTTTTCCTTGTTGTCAAGCGCCGCTCCCGGAGGTTTTCGCTCGCCTGAACTAATCCGGCATCGCCACCTTTGGAAGAGCAGCGGTGCGCGCTGCATCTTGGGAGTTGTTCGCCCGTCTAGGAGAACTTCCTGGTTTCTTCTCTGAACACTTGATGGGGGGTCCGGGACTACTAGGGCCGTCAGGCTTTGCGTGCCCAGCGTTTCGAAGACGGGGCGGCTTCGTGTCCCGGTGCAACATGGGAGTTGGTGTTTTTTCTTTTCCTCAGTCCCGATAAGGGAAGGATAAGACGCAAAATTTACAAGCCCTACAGAGTCTCTTTCCCCTTCGCCCAGCCTTGTTTCGCGGCACTTTTTGGGAATTAAAGTTTTTCTGGGAGAGCAGTTAGTCAGGTAAAGAGGAGAGCCCTTGGAAGGGACTACATGTCCCATGAGGCTTAGAGTAGGGTGCCTTCCTGTTCGCCCTGCGCCAGGTAAACAAGTCTTGCCTTCTGGCTCCACCTCTTCATTCCTATTGGCTACTGTATGTTAAGTGCCTTCCCCTCCTTCCCCAAGTCGCCTTTTCACAGGTTACTGTAAGTGTTCCTCTCAAGGGAGGGGCAGGAGCCCTTTGAGCGGTGCGGCCCTCCCTCCGGAGCGCTGATAGGCGGCGCTTGCTGCCTGTCGCGGGAGGCGGGGCAGGCGAAACCTGCCCCGAGGAGCCGTTGGCTACGCCGAAAATCTGTCAGGGAGTTGTGGGCGCTGATTGGACGGCTCTTCCAGCTGGTCCAGATTCATTCACCATTTTGTCTGTTGGAGTAAAAGGGCTCGGAGGGGCCGAGAGGGGCTCGGGCTGGACCATCGGGGGGGGGGAGAAAAGGGGGGGGGAAGAGGGAAGAAATCCAACTGTTCCAAGATTTCCTGGAGAGAGACTTTTGGCACTCTGGAAAAGGGGGATCGTTCAGGTAAGGGGGCTGGGAGGTGCCAAGTTTAGCACCCCCCCCGCACACCAAGGGAGGGGAGAAGGGGAAGCTCTGCAGAAGGGAAACATCTGCACCCCGGAAACCTTCAAAGTAGGAAGAGCCAACTTTATTGATTTGTCCTCCCCCTCCCTCCTCCCAATTATGTTTGGGGAGGTACCAACTCTGGGACCCCCGGGGCATTCCCCCACTTCTTGCCCCCTCCCAAGTTTTAATGGTTCGCCCCGGAGAGAACCTGCAAACCTGGGACTTTGCAAAAAAAAAAAAAGGGGGGGGGAAGAATCCAGGAGCGCCCCAACTTTGCCTCTTCCCCCCATCAGAATGCAGGGGCTGGCTTGCATGTCTGTTTGTATGTGTGTGCGTGAGAGAGAGAGGGGGGTGGGGGGGAAGCGAGCGAGCGCAGGCAGGTTTATTATGGGATGGCACCGAGGAAGGCAAGGTTCCAAGCTTGAGACCCAATACCAGTTATTATGGGATAGAGAGAGAGAGAGAGAGAGAGGGATTGACAGGAAAGCTTGGCCGGTGCCTGCCTGCCTGCCTGCTGCCTGCTGTAGCAGGGAGTGAGACCGAGAGGCTGGTAAGTACAAGAGTTGCATAATATGGGAGGGTCTTCCCGAAGTGCAGAATGGGGAGGGGGGGTGGGTGGGAGAGAGGAGGGATCCATAAGATCCAAGAGAAGGATCGCAGCTTTTGGAAAGCATTAAGGGTGGGGGGGGGGGAGTGGGGGAAGTGAGCAAGGTCACCTGCAGGAGGAGGAGGAGGAGGGGGGGGGGGGGTTGAGGGTTGGCTTTTCAAAGAGAAGTGGTGGGGGGGGGAAGGAGGAGGAAAGATGGCACAAGCTAACTTGGGGGAGGAAGGATAAGAGGGGGACTCTGTGGAAAAATCCCTTCCGGAGGTTTCTCACCCGGGGTGGTGGTGGTGGTGGTGGAATGGGGATTTGGGGCTGGGGGAGTCCTGTGACAAAGGAACGCCGGGACTGGATTGTTTGCAAACCTCCTCCCGGGGGGATGAGTTGCAAGTGAATCTGAAGTAGATGCCAAGAAGATGTGATGTAATGGAGAAAGAATGCCTCTAAGCATACTCAGAATTCTGTGCATTAACAAAAAGGCAAGGCTCAGGCCCAGTACCCAAGGAAGAGTGGGGGGTGGGGGGTGCAAGAAGACTATTAACACATAGAACTGATTTGAAGCTTAGCAGAGCCATTGGCCCCACATTAGTGGTCCTTTTCTCTTCTCAAACAGCTGAAAGGAGGAGGGGGTTTTAAAACGATAACGTTATGGATATTGTACAGACGATCCTTAGACTGCTTTTTCTCCAGGAAGACTCTGTCTTTCCCCCACTTCCCCCCCCCACCTTGGTTCTTTCTTTTGGTAGGGTGTGGGGGGGAAAAAAGACAGAAATTTGGCCTCCGTCTCTACTTGACTAAGTTAGCGGATGGGTTGCAACCATTCTGCATTCCTTTGCATCCTCCTCCTCTCTCTGGCCAGCAAGAGAGATAGGAATTCAGGAAGACTATTTGGGAGCCCTCCAAAACAATTCTCTTTTTACTTCCCTGCCATAATTTACTATCAGAAATGAATTAAGTTCCTCCGATACTGCCTAAGCTTAAGCCTATAAAATTTAGAATCTTCTCAGTTGGGCCAAGGTTGGTAGGGAATGAAAGAGAGCATCGAGTCGATGAGCTTTATTAAGAAAATGTCTTGTTTTGACCCTTTTGTTTATTGGCATCTTGCCTTGATTATCTTGACTTAACAAATCTGAGGCGACGAACACATCCAACACATATTCCTCCTCCTGTTTTCCCCGCAACAACAACCCTGTGAGGTGAGAGAGAGGGACTAGCTGAAAGTCAGCCAGCCAGCTTCCATGCCTAAGGTCAGACTGGAACTCACCTTCTAGTTTCTAGCCTGGTGCCTTACCCACTCGACCCGTGATGACGAACCTATGGCATGTGTGCCACAGGTGGCACGTGGAGCCATATCTGTGGGAACGCAAGCGCTGCCCTAGCTCAGCTCTAGGGCGCATACGTGCGTCAACCAGCTGATTTTCGGACCTTCTGGGCCCACCGGAAGTTGGGAAACGGGCTATTTCCAGCCTCCGGGGGAGTGGGGAAGGCCGTTTTCGCCCTCCCCGGGCTCCAAGAAAGCCTTTGGAGCCTGGGGAGGGCAAAAAATGGGCCTTCTGGGCCCACCAGTAGCCTTTTTGCCATCGTATGTAAGAAGTGGGGGGAGCACGTGGGGGGAGTTGTGCATGCATGCGTGGGGGGGCAGGGTGCGGGGGCATTGAATTATGGGTGTGGGCATGCACATGCGTGACCCTCCCATGCTCCCCCTGCTTTTGGCACGCGATGGCAAAAAGGTTAGCCATCCCTGCACTAGACCAAACAGACTCTGTAATATTTATGTATATTATAATATAATTAATATTGGAAAAAGCAATTTATTCTTTCGGACTTCATTGAAGTCCAGGGATGTCATATATATATATATATAAGCTACAGTCGATGGGTTCATATATGTTATGCTCACCTATAAGTCATGGTTTGTCACCAGAAAGGCTTGGTTCAGGTAGACACAAAATCTACATTATGGGGATATTTTGAACCTAACAATGGAAGTTGCAATCTCTCCTATAATCACATTGACTCTGAATTGGGATCTAATGTTAAAAGTGCTGGAACTCCTGATGTTGAACAAAATAGAACTGTAGTGTGTGTGTGTGTGTGGTATGTGCGTATATATTTATTTATTTATACAAATCCAAGATTTATTTTAAATTAATTCTTTGCTTGTTCCAGCAGGAGTAAGTGCCTAGAGTACCACCCTCCCCTTTAGGATGGGCTCACATTTAAATGTAGAAAAAAAATTACTATATGCCTGCATATAGATATTGTTGCATAATGTTGTTTTGTACATACATATAATGTGCAGCTTGTTAAAAAAGTCCATGCTTATTTATTTCCAGCTCCCAGGCTGGAATTGAGAGGCCTGCTTACAGTTTGGAATTAGAGAATTCAGGATAAGGAATTGGATGAGAATAACGGGGAAGGGAAGCACAGCCCAACAGCCAAGAGGCATTGAGTCCTCAGAAGTGAGGAACAGCAGAGAAAGTCCGTGTTGATTAATGAGTAGTTTATGGCTCAAGCAGGAAAGTTATTTTGTTCAAAACATGTGACAGTCTGCTTCAAAACCAAAATTTCAGACTTCTTGAGTTTGGAGGATTAAGTTGATGGTTGGAGAAATCCGATTACAGGGGAGTGGTAGAACGGAGGATGGCCCGGTAACCTCCTTCTTGTCTGTTTCCTCTTAGCTCCCTGAATCTATGCCCAGCCTGGGAGGAAGATGAAACCAGTGAGAAAGGCTGCCAGTTCCTCCTCTTCCTCCTCTTCCGGTAGCAGCAGCTGCAGCCGCTCTCCACCCTCCACCCGGGCCAAAACTCAGAAGCGCAAGACCGCCATTGACGAGAACCCCGCGCTTGAAGAAGGAGCAGAAGAGGAGGCGCCCGATCAACCCCCAGCATTTGTGGGTGCCCGGCGCATGCAAGTACAGATGGACCCCAGCTTGCGGGACTTGGCCGGAGCTCACGATGACCCCTACAAACTGTCCGAAGGCGAAACACAGGCGGGGGCCGAGGCCTGCGGGACAGAAGCCTCCTTGAACCGCAAGACGGCTACTTTTAAGTCGCGGGCGCCATGCCGGAAGTACCCTGGGGGTGAAGAATCAAACGGCAGCGAGAACGTAGCCGCCACCTTGGCGGATGAGCCTCGGCGCTGCCCTTCTTCCAGCACGGACACAGCCAGCGAGCACTCCGCAGACGAGAACGACAAGGGGGTGGGGAACATGTGGGCAACGCCCCCCAGTGCGTACGACCTGCGCCAGCTGCGTTCCCAGCGGGTGCTGGCTCGGCGGGACGGACTCTTCCAGCCGGCCATCGTGAAGCAGGTCAGACGAGGGCAGGACTTGGGGGTACAATTTGTGGGGGACCGGGTTACAGCATATTACGAAGGGGCCCTGGGATCTGCTGCTGTGGATATTGTGCTGGACGCTACCCCTCCCCCTGGAGCTTTGGCTGTGGGTGCCGCAGTCTGTGCTTGTATGGACCCCGAGGAGACCGCTTACCAGGAAGGCATGGTGGTGGAAGTCAGCGTCAAACCTGCTTCCTACAAAGTGCGATTCACCCATCCGGTGGTTCTCCCTGGAACTGCCAGTGCCAGCCGCAAAGACTCCGCCTGGGTGCCCCGCTTGGCCCTGCGCCTTCTGCGCTCCCCATGGCATTGTGACAATCCTTCAGAAGACAACAAGCCACCCGAAGCAATGCCTCCGTTGCCAGAGCCAGAGGAAGTTGCTCTGGCCCTCTCGTGCCCCGAGTCCAAGCAGCCCGAAGACGCCGAAGTATCCAAGATCAGTGCTGGGGTGCGGGCAGAGGAGAAGTCCGTGGCGGTGCCACCCCAGATCCTGTCCCCCCCAAAGTCGCCAGCCTTCCCTCGCCTTCCTGAGCAGCGATCGCCTTTGCTGAGTCCGGAAGCGAGCGGAAGCCGCAGCAGCAGCGTGATGTCCGTGGATAAGTGCAGCACACCGGGGTCCTCTCGCTCCCGTACGCCCCTCACTGCCGCCCAGCAGAAGTACAAGAAAGGAGACGTAGTGTGTACCCCCAATGGCATCCGCAAGAAGTTCAATGGGAAGCAGTGGCGGCGACTCTGTTCGCGGGACGGCTGCATGAAGGAGTCTCAACGGCGGGGTTACTGCTCGCGTCATCTCTCCATGCGCACCAAGGAAATGGAAAGCCTCTCGGAAGGCCGAGCCAGTGGTCTGCGGGAGGGCAGCGCCGAGTTTGACTGGGACGAGACGTCGCGGGACAGTGAGGCCAGCAGTGCCCGGGGGGACTCACGGCCTCGGCTGGTGGCTCCTGCGGATTTGTCACGCTTTGAGTTTGACGAGTGCGAAGCTGCCGTCATGCTGGTGTCCCTGGGCAGCTCCCGTTCAGGCACCCCATCTTTCTCGCCAGTCTCCAATCAGTCCCCCTTCTCCCCTGCCCCCTCCCCCTCCCCGTCTCCTCTCTTTGGCTTCCGTCCAGCCAATTTCAGCCCCATTAATGCCTCGCCCGTCATCCAGCGGGCCGCCGCTCGCAGCCGCCACGTGAGTGCCAGCACCCCAAAGGGAGTTGGGGGTGCCGTGCTGAGCCCTGAGATGTTGCACCACGCCACCTCCCGGGAGCGCCATCATTCGGGCATCAGCTTTCAGACCAACCTTACCTTCACCGTGCCAATGAGTCCCAGCAAGCGGAAAGCCGAGTCGCACCACAGCAGCACCAGCTCGGCAGCTGACTTCCACAAGAACGACAGTCTCGACTCGGGGGTGGAATCCATTTCCCACACCCCTACCCCTTCCACCCCTGCTGGCTTCCGGGCCGTGTCGCCTGCGGGCGCTGGGCCCTTTTCCTCGCGCTCCCAGCAGGCCTCCCCGCTCTTGCTGGTGCCCCCGCCAGCTGGACTGACCTCCGACCCGAGCCCCACGGTGAGGAGGGTGCCTGCCGTGCAGAGAGATTCCCCGGTGATTGTGCGCAACCCCGATGTCCCGTTGCCTTCCAAGTTCACAGAGAAGCCGCTGGAGAGCCGAGGGGGAAGCCCAAGGATGGGGAAAGCCGGCTCCAAGGAACACCTGTCGGGCAAAGGGCAGTTGCAAATGCCGGTGCCCATTAATGTGGGCCGAACTCTGCCTTCCAGCCAGCCTAGCGTGGTAACTGTCCCCGAACAAGCCCCGCCCGTCTTCAGCGTGTCCTCCCCCTTTCAGCCTGTGGCCTTCCACCCCTCCCCAGCTGCCCTCCTGCCTCTCCTTGTGCCCGGAGAATACACCGGCCACCCTACTCCCAAGAAGGAGATCATCATGGGAAGACCTGGCACAGGTAAGCTTTGGGGCTTACTACTCGATTCTCTTTTGTTTTGTGTTCGGATGTCGTCGCTTTTCCCTCTCTGTGTTTATTTCACTTTTCCCATCCCTCCGGGGCCCAAAATTAAACAGTGTTAAACCCAAACTGCTTAGCCTTAGTAGCTCTGGGGCCAGGGGTGTGTGTGGGGGGGGGGGCTCTACGACAATTCGCTGCAGACAGTTTGCCATGCCCAACTCACCGCAGGCCAACTCACCGCAGGACAAGAGTTGCACTGAATGTCGAAGAAACGGTGGAATACAGATGGTTAAAGAAAGGATGCAAAAAAGGAAGAACGACGTGAAATGGGAATGACAACCATGAAAACATTTAAAACGTTTTTCTTTAATTGATTTTAAATAATTAAATTGAATTGTTAAATGGTCCCATGGCATGTTGGCTGCAGCGAGTTGGCCGGGGCAAGTTGTCCCATTCCGTAGGGCGGGGTGAGGCAGGGCCAGGTGAGGTGGGGGGGGAAACTTGGAGGAGTCCCAGTGCCAAATGCCTGTTTCTTGAGTTTCCATATTCTAGTTCCGGAATTCCAAGCGGTTCTGACAACGGCTCCTTTTTCCCCTTGGCATGAGGCTTCTCCAGAGAGCTCGTACAAAACTGAATCTTGCTTGGGTAGTCCTCGGTGACCAGGAACCCATGCTTGGCAAACGAGTGGGCTGGTGGCAGCGGTAGGAGAAGCTGCGCTGATTTTCTTCCCACAAGCCCAAAACAAGCAATTTCTGTTCAAGGGAGGGAAGCCTCTTTTTCTGTTAACTAAAATAGAATTTGCAGTTCTGCATTTCCATAGCGGATTTGATTTTGGAGAGCTGTTTGTGAAAGGCTCTCTTTTCTTTAAAAAAAAAAAAAGAAAAATCTCCATACACAGCTTTGGGCAACGCTTTCGTTTCTCTTCTCTTGTCAACTATCGCTAACACTTAGCACCCTCCACAAAGGTGGTTGTGAGAATAAGCACATATCCACAAGAGTAAAAGATGGGGAAGGGAAAACAGGATATGTCTCGTCAAAAAACCTGGGTCTCTACGCCAACAGAAGTTGTGATATTAGGATTATTTGTTGGAAGATGGATTTTTTTTCGGCTTTGTCCTCCTCTGTCTAAGGGAAAAAGGGGAAGAAGAGGAGGTAGAGGAGAGAACATTGATACATCTGTGAAAGGTAGACGGATTTTTATGGGGCCAAATTCCATTCTCTTGAGATGATCCCGATGAAACGTCTCTGCAATCCATCATCCATCTGCTTCTGAGAATAGCTTCCAGATGGTTCCGGGAAGCTGGGTGTGAAGTCATCGCTCTCTTGCTCTACCCACTGGAGATTCCAGCTCTATGTTTTGTGCAGAACGGTCTTTTGATAGGCGTGTCTTTCATGACCCTCTCGTTCATGGTTTAATAGCGCCCAGTCCCTAAGTTGGCTTGCTTTTAACATGATAGACTTTGGTTAATGTTGCTTTTTTAGCGAGAGAGGTTTAAAACGTTGAGTTTTAATTCTTCTGTCGGGGTGACTCTTGACTCGAGCTGGCTCCTATCCAACTTCCGTAATACCGTAAACCTATTTGATCGGTGTAGTATCGGCCGTTTGCAGAGCTGAAGTTGGAATTTTATCTTTGGCTCCTTAAGTTAGGATTAAAAGCAGGACCAAACAGGCCCCTTCTGCCTTCCAGTGATGACAGAGGCAAACATTTTCCATGCCGAAGATTTTGAAAATACAGTATATACGATACGGGAAACTAATGTCTTGGGATGTTTTTTTTTTTTTTTTTTTTTAGCTTTCCAGGTTGAGTTACTTGCTTCTCCATTTACGCTTGAAGGGAGATCAGACACATGGCAATGAACATGCTGGGTGCGTAGTTCCAGTTAGGCAACACAATGAAGAGAGTATCCATGCTGGTATTTGTATTATTTGCCATAGGTTAATATTGAAGACCTGTAAATAGCCATTGGTCAGGGGTGAAGAGGAATTCTCTCTGGCTGGGAAAGTATTTATACAGTGAAAGGCAATTGGGTCTTGTAGAATGATTTCTTCCAGGCCATTCACAGGCTGGCTAGCCAATACCTTACTGTGTCTCATCCAGCACAGAAATCAATATGGCGCTGACTGATAACAGTTTTGCCACTTTGGTTGAGGTGCCAGACTAGAAACTGGGAAACCACGAGTTCTAGTCCCACCTTAAACATACAACCAGCAGGGCGACTTTGGGCCAATCGCCGGGAGACCGTGAGTTCTTAGTCCCGCCTTAGGCACGAAAGGTAGCTGGGTGACCTCCTGCCAATGATCTTTTCTCAGTCTAGGAAGGAGTCAGTGGCGCTTTTGAAATGGAAGTAGTCCAGGCAATTGCCAAAAGTCAACAGAGACTGGAAAGCCAATGCATTTACACAGAGAGGGAGGGAGGGAGGGAGGGAGGGAGGGTGAGAAAGGAAGGAAGGAAGGAAGGAAAAGAGAGAGAAAGAGAGAGGGAGAGAGAAAGGAAGGAAGGAAGGAAGGAAGGAGGAAGATAGGGAGGGAGGGAGGGAGAGAAAGGAAGGAAGGAAGGAAGGAAGGAAGGAAGAGAGAGAAAGAGGGAGAGAGGAAGGAAGGAAGGAAGACGGAGGGAGGGAGAGAGAGAGAAAGGAAGGAAAGAAGGACGAGAGAGGGGGGAGAGGGAGAGAAAGGAAGGAAGGAAAGAGAGAGAGAGGAAGGAAGGAAGGAAGGAGGAAGACAGAGGGAGGGAGGGAGAGAGGAAGGAAAGAAGGAAGAGAGAGAGGGAGGGAGAGAGAGAAAGGAAGGAAGGAAGACAGAAAGGGAGGGAGGGAGGGAGAGAGAGAGAGAGAGAGAGAGAGAGAGAGAGAACATACCCCAGAGATGAGATGAGAAGTACTGCAACTCTTTAATGCTTATTAGAACTTATATAAAGCTGTGATCCACTATGTTGAAGGAAACCAGATGAGAGAGAAGTAGCAGTATAAAAGTCCCGATCTAGAATGGCCAGGGCTTTGATCTGCCTCCTCTTACCAGCAAGGAAAAGCTATTGTATCGTTTGCTGGTGGGTTTCCCAATTCCCTCCGCCCCTCCCTCCCTCCCCCCCTTTTTTTGGAGCATCTGGAACCCTTTCTGACCACTGCTGTAAAAAAAAAAAAAAAGTGGTATAATTCCCCCCCACTTTTTTTTGAGGCCAGAAATAAATAATGTAAGCATTCCAACGACAGGCCTTAAAGTTTAAAAGTTTAAAAGCCCGGGGGGGGGGGGACCGAAAAAAAAAAAGAAAAAAAAAAAAGAAAAAGAAAAGAAAAGCCTCATCCCTGCCAACATGTGTTAGACAGCCACATCTGTTGCAGCCTTTCAGTTTTCAAACGTTTCATGTGGTTTGTGGAGATCAAAAGGTTGCCGTCTTCTGCATTGGCCCCTCGTGTTTTTTATTTATTTTTTTGGGGTGAGTGGGTGGGAGGGAAGTATCAAGGAAATACAGTAATCTGTTAAAAAGACCAGAACTGATCTATCTATCTATCTATCTATCTATCTATCTATATATATATATTGTCCTTTTTATTGGAAAAGGAGGGGACATTTCTATCTCTCTGCATTGGGGGGTGCATGCATGATGGGGGGGGCGGCATAGGGGTTCATTGCAGTACATTTATCCAATCCTCTGCGAGGAATGACATGACTGGCAGCAGCACGATAGTACGGTTTTCTGTCAGGGCTGGATATTAAAGCTACCTTTCTGGTATTGCCTCTTTTCTTTCTTTTTTTTTAATACTCGGTGTACGTGGGCTGCTGCAACTGAGTGTAAGCCAGCTGGAGCATCATACAGGACACGTGATTGTGCCAAGAGTGGTGCAATGAAGTCATGAGGAAGTGTTTATGTGGCTTAAGTGTTTCTGGAGGATGAGAGCTCACCTATCTTTTCTCCCCTTCACTTGGTGCAGCTCCAAGACTTACAACCGCTTCCTTCTTCCGGCTTCATAGTGAAAACAAAGCCAAAGCTGTTTGCCAGCTGTGTGTGTTTGTGTGCACACACAGTTCTACATTTTAGCTGCACAGGTCGTCCTAGACTTACAACAGTCCGTTTACTGACCATTTGAAGTTACAACGGTACTGAAAAAAAAGTGACTTGGCAACCATGTTTCACACTTAACGGCCTTTGTAGCATCCCCCGTGTGATCAAAATCCTGATGCTTGGCCGCTGGGTTCGTGCTTAACGACCGTTGCGGTGTCCCAGGATCACATGATTCCCCTTTAGCGATCTTTGGCAAGAAAGGTCGTAAAAGGTTTTTTTTTTTTTTTTTTCAAAACTCACTTAACAAGCGTCTCACTTAGCAACAGAAATTTTGGGGCTCCATTGCGATCCTAAGTTGAGGACGACCTGAAAAACGGAATTTGCTAATGCACGGAAAGCCTGCCTTTGCTTGCGGAAAAAGATAAGCCACCGAAGGAAAAACCATTAACACAAAGTGGAGCCTTTCTATTAACGTGTGTGGCTCGCCTCCCCGCGTGTATAAAATGCTCCAAAAAGGCAAGAATTCGGGAGTGAGTCGATGATGTATCCATCGTTGTCTTAAGCTCGCCGAGCTGCTGATGTTCTCCAGGTATTCGATGCTATGGGGTTGACCACCGATCGTTCTCCAAATAGTCATCTGGCAATCCCCAAGAGTTGGGGGGGTCCTTAGATCCGGCCCTCTGCTTCTGAGAAACCCCTCTCCCCCAATACATCATGTTCCCAATCTTATTGAAAGCTATTCCTCTTAACAAGCTTCACATGTAAAGCACCAGATCTGGAGATAGATAGATAGATAGATAGATAGATAGATAGATAGATAGATAGATAGATAGATAGATAGATAGATAGATAGATAGATGATAGATAGATAGATAGATAGATAGATGATAGATGATAGATAGATAGATAGATAGATAGATAGATAGATGATAGATAGATAGATAGATAGATAGATAGATAGATAGATAGATGATAGATAGATAGATAGATAGATAGATAG